CATTCTCTCACTTCTTGGGCCCATCTTGGGGGGCGGGCAAACAAGTCCAGGCCATTCTCTCACTTCTTGGGCCCATCTTGGGGGGCATTCTCTCACTCCTTGGGCCCATCTTGGGGGGCGTGGCAAACAAGTCCAGGCCATTCTCTCACTTTTTGGGTCCATCTTGGGAGGCGAGGCAAACAAGTCCAGGCCATTCTCTCACTTCTTGGCCCATCTTGGGGGGCGGGGCAAACAAGTCCAGGCCATTCTCTCACTTCTTGGGCCCATCTTGGGGGGCGGGGCAAACAAGTCCAGGCCATTCTCTCACTTCTTGGGCCCATCTTGGGGGGCGGGGCAAACAAGTCCAGGCCATTCTCTCACTTCTTGGGCCCGTCTTGGGGGGGCGGGGCAAACAAGTCCAGGCATTCGCCTCACTTCGTGGGGCCATCTGTGGGGGCGGGGCAAACAAGTCCAGGGCATTCTCTCTTCTTGGGCCCATCTTAGGGGGCGGGGCAAACAAGTATTCTCTCACTTCTTGGGCCCATCTTGGGGAGCGGGGCAAACAAGTCCAGGCCATTCTCTCACTTCTTGGGCCCATCTTGGGGGGGGCGGGGCAAACAAGTCCAGGCCATTCTCTCACTTCTTGGATCCATCTTGGGGGGCGGGCAAACATTCTCTCACTTCTTGGGCCCATCTTGGGGGGCGGGCAAACAAGTCCAGGCCATTCTCTCACTTTTTGGGCCCATCTTGGGGGGCGGGGCAAACAAGTCCAGGCCATTCTCTCACTTCTTGGGCCCATCTTGAGGGGCGGGGCAAACAAGTCCAGGCCATTCTCTCACTTCTTGGGCCCATCTTGGGGGGCGGGGCAAACAAGTCCAGGCCATTCTCTCACTTCTTGAACAAGTCCAGGCCATTCTCTCACTTCTTGGGCCCATCTTGGGGGGCGGGGCAACAAGTCCAGGCCATTCTCTCACTTCTTGGGCCCATCTTGGGGGGCGGGGCAAACAAGTCCAGGCCATTCTCTCACTTCTTGGGCCCATCTTGGGCGGGGCAAACAAGTCCAGGCCATTCTCTCACTTATTGGGCCCATCTTGGGGGGCGGGCAAACAAGTCCAGGCCATTCTCTCACTTCTTGGCCCATCTTGGGGGCGGGGCAAACAAGTCCAGGCCATTCTCTCACTTCTTGGGCCCATCTTGGGGGGCGGGGCGAAACAAGTCCAGGCCATTCTCTCACTTCTTGGGCCCATCTTTGGGGGGCGGGGCAAACAAGTCCAGGCCATTCTCTCACTTCTTGGGCCCATCTTGGGGGGCGGGGCAAACAAGTCCAGGCCATTCTCTCACTTCTTGGGCCCACCTTGGGGGGCGGGGCAAACAAGTCCAGGTCATTCTCTCACTTCTTGGGCCCATCTTGAAGGGCGGGGCAAACAAGTCCAGGCCATTCTCTCACTTCTTGGGCCCATCTTGGGGGGCGGGGCAAACAAGTCCAGGCCATTCTCTCACTTCTTGGGCCCATCTTGGGGGGCGGGGCAAACAAGTCCAGGCCATTCTCTCACTTCTTGGGCCCAGCAGGGGGGCGGGCAAGCAAGTCCAGGCCATTCTCTCACTTCTTGGGCCCTCTTGGGGGACGGGGCAAACAAGTCCAGGCCATTCTCTCACTTCTTGGGCCCATCTTGGGGGGGGCGGGGCAAACAAGTCCAGGCCATTCTCTCACTTCTTGGGTATCTACATATAGCATGGCAGCAAAAGAAGCTTCCTTATTGTGTCGAAACACGTTTCATTAACACCATGAAAATCTAACACTAACACAGGGTCATTAACAATTTTAATACCAAAATCTAAGCCCAAATGAACTTTTCATAAGTTCGAAACAAACAAACCTTTCAAGCATGGTCCTACAATGGCATCCTGACACTTGTCTGGTCTGAAGCTTCTTTCAACATTTCCTGAGAACAGCGTTCCTCTCAATTTTTCTCTTAATATTATAAGGCTTGTTGTCTTTAAGCGGTGTTTAGTTTAGGTTTGATACTGGCTAGACTACTTCAAAACATAGAACGTTAATGTCTTCATTTATTTCTTTACAATTTTCAAGAATGTCTTTACGACACTCAATATTATCCCGCTTATTGATTGTATCAAAAATATCTTTCTTGGCAAGTCAGAATAACAAGATGATATCATTTTAAGATACATAATTTCTTGTTCTGAATGACCTTCATTTATTTTGTTCTGGTATATCCGTATCTTTATTTTCATATCTTCTATGTCTTCATTAAGTTTTTCGAGTTCAGTTTCAAATATTTTCAGCTTTTCTTCACTCTCCTTTATCGTTCTATCACTCATTACTCACGAATATTATAGGGCGTTTTGTAGATAAGTCTTTGTCTTTTCAATCAACTAACAACAACTCATGTCAATTATTGTGCTTTTCTCTACCTTCCACAAGATAATTTGTCAAGCTGTGGGTCTCGCTTAACTTCTTTCACTTCATAAATCCTGTCGGGCCATTGGCTACGTGTCTCCTTTCTGCTGGTATATTTGCCCTTGCCTTTATCAAGGACTTTAACCTCATCTCCAACTTCAACCTTAGGATATCTCCTTAAATGCTTTTCTTTCAACACCGTATTAGCCTTTACTTCCATTGAACGCTCGTCTTTATGTGCTTCTTCTGGAATCATTCCAGTTGTTGAGTGAATCATCTGTTTAATATACTTATTCAGAACGGGTTTTAGTAATATCGTCCAAGCCCCTTTGTCTGTGAAGCTCTATCACCAATCATCTTATTAAATGTTCTGATTGCTCCTTCAGCTATATTAGCGTGAGTTAAGGTGACGATGTGAATTACGCTTCAGGGTTTAGGGTTTAGGTTTAGGGGTTAGGGTTCAGGGTTTAGGGCTTAGGGTTTAGGGCTTAGGGCTTAGGTCCTTCTGGGGGTAGCGCCCCCTTCAGAGGGAGCATAGGTCAGCCTAATGTCTGCGTACCTGTGCCCTTCTTCATGACTTGAGGCAGCCCCTTGGAAAATGGAGGGTGGAAATTTGGAGGAATGAATAAGGGGCGTTGGCAAGAATGTTGGTAAGAATCCCAGGGAGTGAGTGTAGAAAATGAACGAGGCGGGGATAATTGTTGAAAAAATGCTGAACACCGGTGGACAAAGGGCAATACTTGGTAAAGACCCTAGAAGCACCTTCTGAAAAGTGAATATGAATAGCGGGAAATGATTAAGAAAGGTATGTTAGGATTTGACAAAGTAGCTGAGGGGGGCAAAGTTTGAGGTACAAGTCCTCAGAAACCCCCTTTGCTAACTTTTGGGGCGGGCCTAGGCCTTGAGTGTAGGGTTTAGGGCGTAGGGCTTAGGGCTTAGGGTTTAGGGTTTAGGGTTTAGGGTTTAGGGCTTAGGGTTTAGGGCCTACATCCCACAACGATACCATCCTTCCCTCTCCCGCTGGCCGAAACCTCAAACCCTCGCCCCCTCTCACCCCGAAAGCACGAAGCAGCCCGAAACCCTAAACTCTAAACCCTAAACCCCAAACCCCAAACCCTAAACCCTAACTTGATCCTGAACCTGGCGAGGTCCAGCGCATGGAACCCAAACCCTGTGCAACTTTGATACGGTTCAGGTTTAGGGTTTTGGGTTTAGGGTTTTGGGTTTAGGGTTTAGGGTTTAGGATTCAGGGCTGAGGTAAACCTGCAACCTGTAAAACATGAACCGAGCCCTATAGGAAACTATAAAGGCCAAAAACCCAGAAGGTTTGAAACCCCGAATCCCTCCAACCCTAAGCCCGCAGAGCCCTAACACCCTAAACCCCTGAAGCCCTAAATCCCCAAAGCCCTAAAGCCCTAAACGCCTAAACCCCTAAACCCCTAAACCCCTAAACCCCGAAAACCCGAACCCCTAAAGCCCTAAACACCTGGACCCCTATGTACACTAAAAGCCCGCAAGCCCTATCCCCAAACCCTAAGCCCTAGACCCTAAACCGCCTAAACCCTAAACCCTAAACCTAAACCCTAAACCCTAAACCCTAAACCCTAAACCCTAAACCCTTAACCCTAAACCCTAAACCCTAAACCCTGAACCCTACGAAGCTGCACCTTCAGGTCTTGCAACAGATTCATGGCATGGCCCGAGTTGTAGCCTTTGCCAAGGGGCACCCCCCTAACAGTTTAGGGCTTAAGGTTTAGGGTTAAGGGTTTAGGGTTTCGAGTTTTGGGGCTTAGGTTTAGGGTTTTGAGGTTTAGGGATGAGGGTTGAGGGTTGAGGGGTTGAGGGGTTGAGGGTTGAGGGGTTGAGGGGTTGAGGGGTTGAGGGTTGAGGGTTGAGGGTTGAGGGTTGAGGGTTGAGGGTTGAGGGTTGAGGGTTGAGGGTTGAGGGTTGAGGGTTGAGGGGCTCTTTGAGGGCTTTGCTTGCGGAATTTTTGAGTTTCAATTTGAAATACCCTTACCGCTAATTCGCTTTCTTGCGGCTACCTTGTCGTCTGTGCTCAGGAAGCAAACCCATCATATTGTATAAATTGTGTTTGTAAGTTCAGCCACGAAATGCATTCAACCATGCAATGCATAACTTGATGTTGCCTTGCCGCGCCCACATAAATTAGTTGTGACAGGCGCCCTCGCATCCTGAATCAGAGTGTCTCCCAGCTGAATGAGCTTGCGAACGCCAGAAACTCGTCTCAAATATATAGGGAAGTGAGAGAACACATGGACGACTCTGAGTCTGAGGAAGAAGGAAAGGACAAAGAACCACCCTAAACCCTAAACCCACAAACCCTAAACCCCAAACCATTGAAGCCCTCAAACGAGTCCCTCTCTTGCACGAACTCTCCCGAAACCTGCCGCCCAACCCCAACACCTAACCCGAAGTCCCAAACCCCAAAGCCCGAAATCTTAAACCCTCGCCTACCCTCGCCCGCCCCCCCCACCCACCCACCGCCTTGAACCCTCAAAAATACTCCGAACCCCAAAGCCCCCAATGCCCAAAAACCGCTGAATCTAGAGTAAGCCTGAGCATGGAAAATGCGCCCAGCCACCTTTCGCCTCCGCTAGGGCCTTGAGGACTTCGGTGGACAGGGCCTGCATCCGATGGCGAGCTTTCAACAACCCCCAACCAAAAACCTTAAACTCCGTTTAGGGTTTAGGGTTTAGGGTTTAGGGTTTGGGGTTTGGGGTTTAGGGTTTAGAGTTTAGGGTTTACAAGTTAGGGTTCAGCAGCTCCGGATCGAGCAGTTCGAGTCGAGCGTGCAGAGCGTAGACGTAGACAACAACCCCTGCCCAAAGAACCCCATAACATTTATAAATCAAGGGTCTTCATTCACCTTTTACGCTGCAGCTGCTCACTATTCCTTCAATAAAGGCAAAGCAAGGTCCGGCCCCTCCGGGCCAAAAGCCCAAGGCCCAACCCCAAACCCTAGAGCCCTAAACCCTGTGCTCCTAGCCTTAGGGACCAAATGGCTACCAACATTGGTCCCGGAGGCCAGAGTGACCAAACGGCTAAGAATTCGGTCCCAAGAATCCGGAGGGCTAGGAGCATTGATCCTGAGAGGGATCCGGATGACTTAAAAGGTTTAAATACACATGTGATAGAGAGGGTTTCGGGGTAAGGGTTTAGGGTTTAGGGTTTTGGGTTTTGGGTTTTGGGTTTTGGGTTTTGGGTTTAGGGTTCCGTACTGAAACAGGAGGCGTGCCTGGTCGAAATCCTGTGCCGCTCGATGCTGGCTGGCGGCCTATGGAGGGGCATGCATCTGGAGTTGTCAGACTATTAACGAAGGTGTAGGGTTTAGGATTTGGGGTTTGGGGTTTTGGGTTTTGGGTTTTGGGTTTTGGGTTTTTGGGTTTTGGTTTTCTTGGGGGTGTAGATTTTCCGCTTGACTTGGTAGCCCAGTCGCCATCTTTAAAGTATTGCATTAGGGTACCCTTTTTGGGGTTGGCTACTTCAACAGCGAAGATTTTGGACCAAAAAGTTTGCAAAGGGTACCACTGGGCTACCAAGCTTGGGGACTATCATCTCGAAACCTAAGCCCTAAACCCTAAACCCTAAACCCCAAACCCTAAACCCTAAATGCCAAACCCCAAACCCCTTGTTCGTGGTGCGCCTCGGAGGTTCCGCTGATGCCCAGCATTGCCTTGAGTAGGTCGGCCGCCAACTCAGCCTTCAGAAGGATCCAGGGCTTTGGGTTTAGGGTTTAGGGTTTAGGGTTTTAGGGTTTTAAGGTTTTAGGGTTTTAGGGTTTTAGGGTTTACTTGGAGGTTCATGGTACTTATTCACCAAGTACAACTGTACTTCTCACTGTACTTATCACCATATTGGGGCATTTTAGGGGCTTAGAAGTGGGTTCTAAGTACAGTTATAACTGGTTAAGAAGTACCATGAACAACCAAGTAGGGTTTGGGGTTTAGGTTTTAGGGTTTTGGGTTTGGGGTTTAGCATTTAGGGTTCGGGGGTTTGGGGTTCAGGGTTGAGCGTTTGGGGTTTGGGGTTTGGGGTCTTGAGGGTTTGGGTTTTGGGGATGTTTGGGGTGTCGGGTTTTGGCTTGAATGAGGGTTGAGGGTTTAGGGTTCAGAGTTCAGGGTTTTAGCTTAGGGTTTAGGGTTCAGGGTTTGAGGTTTAGGGTTTTAGGGTTTAGGGTAGGACCCCCGGGTCCGCCCCCCTGGCCCATGACCTTCCCGGTGTGGACGCAGCCGCGGATCAGCGATTGGCAGATCCTGGGTTTAGGGTTTAGGGTTTAGAGTTTAGGATTGAGGGTTGAGGGTTGAGGCTTGAGGCTTGAGGGTTTAGGGGACGTCCAATCCTGCCTAGACCCTAAACCCTAGGGATGGTAGTACCCCCTATTCTAATCCCTATTAAGGATTCTATAAGGGGGAAGACCCCAACCTATACCCTGAACCCCTTCACTTCTGAATAACGCCGCTCCCAGTGGCTTCTTGTCTGCCGACAAGCGATCCTGGGAAGAGCGAGCACAGGATCAACCTTTAGACGAACCTTTAGGGTTTGGGGTTTAGGGTTTAGGGTTTAGGTTTAGGGTTTAGGGTTTTCGGGTCTTCTTTATCTGGGTTGGGCGGATCCCTAAACCCCAGACACCCTAAACCCTCAACCCTACCTGGCACTCTATTTACCTACAGCTTAGTAGGAAACTCCTTGATTAGTGGGTATGGCCAATTAAACTGTCGGTAAAGAGAGCCCTAGGTAAACCTATGTAGCGAAGCCTAAACCTATATGGTCAGTTCTCCAGACTAGGGTCCCTTCGGGGTGACTACTCTCAGGCGGCCCCGATATTTAGGGTACCCAGAAAGGGACCACAATTTAGAGCACTGACCGATGTAGTGAAGTGAGGACAGCACATGCGAGCCCACAGCCTTGTGAGTCTTGAGGTAGAAGCGGGCGCCGCGGTCGTAGGCCTTGCAGGTAATGCAGGCCTGCGGCATGCGGCGGTGTTG